CTAAAAGCCGGACTGAAGAAATTTGGAGAAGACGGACGTCAAGCTACCGTCAAAGAACTCAAACAAATGTTAACGCGAGAGGTCTTTAGCGAAATAACCTATGAGGATCTATCTGACGAGGACCGGAAACTAGCCCTGCCAATACTACTGTTCCTTACTCTAAAGAGAGATGGCCACACAGTTAAAGGACGCGCATGTGCAGATGGTCGGAACCAAAAGCTGTGGACTCCCAAACATGAATCTGCATCCCCAACAATTGCAATTGAAGCACTGTTCTTCACACTAATCATGGATGCCCACGAAGGACGAGATGTAGCCACATGCGACTTGCCAGGCCACTTCTTGCAAACAGACATGGAAGGAGAACTAATACTACGACTGGATGGACCGGTGGCATTACTACTGGCTAAAATAGACCRAGCACGATGGAAGAAACATCTTAGAATGGAAAAGAAAAGAGCAGTTATTTACGTACGATGCAACAAAGCAATATACGGAACAGTCACAGCCGCATTACTATCCTACAAGAAACTGATTGGACACCTCATGGACTGGGGCTTTATCATGAACCCGTATGAGCCGTGCTGTTGGAATAAGACAATCAACAGTGAGCAAATGACAGTCGTATTCCATGTGGATGACTTGAAGATCAGCCACAAAGATCCAAMGGAAGTAACGACCGTAATCAAGCTACWAGAATCAATATATGCACAGCAAGACCCAATGACAATCACAAGGGGAAAGATACACCAGTATCTGGGAATAACGATCAACTTTGAAAGACCCGGTGAGGTACAGATCACTATGTATGATTATATACAACGGATGATTAATGAATTGCCCTCAGATATGATAGGACACAAGAGTACAGCTGCACCACCGCATCTATTCAAAACAGACCAAGAGGATGCAACAAAACTAAGCCAGGAGGATGCGGACACATTTCACTCCATCACAGCTCAAACCTTGTGGATGAGCCGACGAGGGAGACCGGATCTTCAGCTGGGAACTGCATTCCTATGCACAAGAGTTAAGGAACCAGATGAACATGATTATAAGAAACTTAAACATCAAATGATGTACCTGCAACAAACTGCATACCTTCCCTTAATATTGAGAGCAGATGGGAAAGGAACTTCCTTATACATTGACGGAGCTCATGCAGTACACGCAGATATGAAGGGACACGGTGGAATGTATGCAACAATGGGAAATGGAGCCCTGTATGCATCCTCCACTAAAAGCAAAATAAACACAC